TCCCTCTCTCTCTCTGCCCCTGCCCCACTTGCTCTCTCTCTCTCTCTCTCTCTCTCTCTCTTTCTCTCAAGTAAATAAACTTTAAAAACTAATTTGAAAAATTAAAAAAAATTAAATCGACTTCTTTTCATTGAGAATTTTGAGGAAAACAGGATGTTGTGTAAAGATGTTTACTAGGTTTACAGTTTCAATTTTAGGATTTGTACATTTGACTCTTATTTACTTCTTCAAAAGATTACCAGCTACTTGAAAAACATGTACTGTCCTTGGAAGCGTCAAAAAAATGAGGTGAAACCTTAACAGACTTGGATAAGGAAGAGAAGGGTGTCCAAGAATCATGGTCTGGTGCAGAACCATGGAATGATCTAAGTGTTTGATCTGCCCTCAGTCCTCTTGAAACATAGGTTCCCTTTATTCGTTGATATGAGCTTCTTTGTTTATTTTGAATGGATGGATGAATGTTTGATTCACTGGGGATTATTTACCCTCCCCATATCTATTTATTAAACTGGAAAAGACTGGTGCTATTTCTCTGTGGGTTTTCATAACATCTCAGAAGTAAAAGTGGGTTAAGACAAAGTCTCGTATATAAAAGGACTTTGTGTTTCCTACACTTGAGTGTAGCACAAGAGGAAAAATCTTAGTGGAGAAAAACCCTGCAGGAAATAGATGAATGTCCTAGAGTAAAACAATGGAAGAGGTTAGGAGAAGGGAGATAATTCATCCATTAAGATAAATTAGTATATAATATAATCTCATGGTATTTTTCATTGTTTGAGGATTAATGTGTGGTACTTTGACGTGGGAAAGTATATCAGGGATATTTCCTAGTGCTCTTTTGGCCTTAGCACTAAAGCTCTAGGACTAGGATATGTCAGCTTGTCACAAGCTATTTTCTGTTCATGCCACAGTGGGCAGTCATTCCTCCCAGGAGCACAAAGAGCGTCTTGGAAAGAGCCAATATACATGAAACTTGAGAAGGAAATACCCTTCAAAAATAACATCAGAAAGACATCAAGAAATGGCAAAAATTACCTAATGTGGGTTTGACACACCCAGCATTCTACTGTGTTTATTTGTATAAAACTGATTTTGTAATTTGTTCTCTGTGAATTGAAAGGCCTGCCAATCTTGAGCCATTTTTTTTCTAGTTATTAGAGGGCCCATTCTATGGACAGAAGGGATTGCAATCTAAGCCATCACAATAGCCATTTGATGTTGGTGTAGGGCTCTTAGGTACTCAATTTTTACTCAGAAAAAGCACAGCGCTCTCTCCGGAGCATAGCTCTGTCCAGAAAATAGCATTTTCCATTTGGTCCTAGGGATAAGGCTTCTCAGGCACTTGTGTGATTATAATACTGATTTTGGAGACTGACAGGATGTTGTTCTTCTGAATGCCATTGCATGACCTCCATATATGGGGGAGGCTGAGGTGGCCTCAGAGCCACAGCTTCATCCTGAGAAACATCTGTTTTGTTTCAAAGCAACAAGAATAGGAGCTACTTTACATGTGGAAATATTAACGACAAATGATTCATGAAACTGGGCCAGAATCACGTTTTTCCTTGATTTATCACATGCTATTTTTTCCTTCTGTTCTTTGACCACCTTTCCGCAAACCACTTGATGAAGAACATCAACTACTAGAGAAATAAAATGGGACTATAGCTCATGACAGAGACCATTCATAAATTCAAAGATATATAGAGGCCCCATCTAGAAATTCATATGTAATCTTTGCAAATGTTACAAATCTGAGGGTTTTTATTTTAAGGTCCCCTAAGAGACAAAATATTTGAAAATGCACATCCCTGGTTTCTTTTTCCCATGTGATTACCTTCCTTCTCTTCCTGTACTTTCAGATTAACATTATAATCAAATAGAAATACACCTCTCAACAAACAGACTGGTGTTTCCAGCCAGAGTACATGAGAAGAGGGACAGATGCAATTTCCATATTGTCCAAACAAATGCATTTATTTCAGGTCAACTATTGAGGAAATTCAGCAATGTTCCTAAGGAGACAAATACAATATGTTGGTTCAGAGCATACTGGCTGGGTTTGAATCCTGGCTCTGTCCCTTATTAGCTATGTAGATGTGGACCCATTACTAAACTCTCTGTGCCTGGGTAGCCTAATCTGTACCATGGGGTAAGACCAGATCATGCCTCAAAGGGTGGTATTATGTTACATGAATAATTAGAACTACATATCTGTTGGGGTGGCTGGTGGCTCAGTCAGTTAAGTGTCCAACTCTTGGCTTTGGCTCAGGTCATGATCTCACAGTTCATGAGTTCAAGTCCCACACTGGGCTCTGTACTCACAGTGTGGATCCTGCTTGGTATTCTCTCTCTCTCTCTCTCTCTCTCTCCCCCTCCCACACGTGTTCTCTCTCTCAAAATAAATAAAGAACTATATATCTGTATGTAGTAAATATACACTAAGTGTTATTGATTATTTTTTTTAAATGTTTGTTTATTTTTGAGAGAGAGAGCACAAGTGGGAGAGGGCAGAGAGCAAGGGAGACGCAAAATCTGAAGTAGGCTCCAGGCTCTGAGCTGTCAACACAGAGCCCGACACGGGGCTCAAACTCACAGACCACGAGATCATGACCTGAGCTGAAGTCAGACGCTCAATCAACTGAGCCACCCAGGCACCCCTGTTATTGATTATTATAGAAGTTTCAAAATAAATAATCCTCCCAGTGCCCATTAGAAAATACAGAATTACTGGATTTTAGAGTTTTTCTGCACAAATTGCAATAGCAATTTCTTAAAAACATTTTGTGATAAAATGGTAATAGATGAAAAGAAGTGTCATTATAAACATAATATTATTTCCAGATTGAGGAAAATATAGTATATTAAGTCTTTAAGATTTAGAAGTACATTCTGAGACACAAGATGAAATTATTCCCTGAAACCTGACTTTTAAGATAATACACAAATAAATGTATAAAATTTTTAAAAATTTAATGATCAATGCAACATGCATCTCTCTTTGACAGATCCAAAGAGAAGTAGAAATTAGTAATAGTCTTGAAGAAAGAGTTAAGAGACTCTTGAGAGTTAAGAGTTAAGAGACCACTAAATTTGTGACCATAAACCACAAGGAAAAAGAAAAACTCATTACTACCTCACTTGCCCCTAGCAATCCAGAACATTCTCTAGAAATTGACATCTTTTCAATTGGCAGTGAACTTCGTGTATTCACCTGGCAGTGAATTTTGTGACTAAATCCCAGTGGTAATTTTATGTCACGTATCCTTTACCACAATTTAAAAAAATTTTTTTTAAAGAGAGGACCTTGGAAAACTCATGAAGTCCTCAAATACTTTTGGAAAAACTACTCCTTTTATGATGATGTGAAAGTCAAGCATGAAGTGTTATTACATCAGAGCATTACAAGCTCCCCTAAACACTCAACTGTATTTATTCTTTCTGAGAATTAATGCACTGGTGAAATTAAAAGCTATATTCTGTTTAAATAAATTTATGTTAAAAGAAAAACTGAAATCGTAATTTATGAGACATAAAGAGAAGTGAGCAAATGATGACACCTTTTTAGGGACTGCCACTAAGCATCTCCCAAAACTACATGCACTGTCCTCAGTCCTGCATGGGCACTCCCCAGAGCTGATGAGTCTGGCTGTGTCTCTGCCTCAGGCAAGCCATTTGATATCTGGACTTCACTTCTCATTTTCCAGAATGAAAACCTTGGGCTAGTATGATCTCCTAATATACCTGGTGGCTCAAACATTCTGTAATTCTATCACTGTTGCAGACTCCAGCACTGATACCTGATTTGAAGCCTCTTTTTCCCAAGCATGAAAATGATCATCTTAGGTAACCAAAGAATCCTAGAAATAAGTGTGGACTGTCAAAATGTTTTTTATTCTTGCTGCAGGATTTTATCTACTGCCAAAGCAATTTTATAAAAACTTCTACTCAGTATTCAAGAGATACATTTCTTTTCCCCAGAGAGAATTAATCATAGGCAAGGACTGGAAAAGGCAGTTTCCCCAGATGAAGCTTAAGCACACTCCCGCTGAGAAACTCATTCTATTTTAATTTGCCAATTAAAAGTGGCCTGGGAAATCACACATTGTTGTTATCTCATTAAAAATACTATACTTGTCACTCTCTTTCCTCTCTCTGGAAAAAGAACACTCAAGTAGCCCAGCTGCTCCCCACAGCTTAAATTTGATAGTACCCTTAAAAGATTGGCTTTATCTAGGGTCCATTGAGGATGGCACCTTCTGCTGTTATTACTGCCACGAATTCCACAGATCTCTAGTCACTGACACTATTTATTGGATATTTACTATATCCATGAAATTTACTAAGCATTGAGAAGTTTAAAAGGTACTAAAAAGCTTGTATTCAGCAAATTAATGGCCACTTTCATTGCAAAACAGAGCCTTGTATCAAGGTCTTTTAAAGATCCCAGCCGTAGCATCTTTTGGTTCTATTTGGCTCTTATTCGATCCCTCCCCATCTGTCTTGCTGATCCGTGGAATGCCATTACAAGCATGGTACTGATGGTTGAGATTACACCCCTGTAATAATTTTTAAAAGCTCAATCTTTGTTGGCATGACAGTCACAAATTGCCTACTCTTATAAACTATATATTGAGTTGACATCATGTATGGGGAAATAGAATGATTTGAATTGGTTATTTGTTACTACTTCTCAGTTTCTAGTGAACCATAAAATGACTATAGGGCAGGAGAAAGCTGGAAATACTGCAAAGATTTTGAATAATGGCTTGTATTTAATAATGCCCCTCTGAATAATGTAATAATAAATGATAAAGTCACGCCACTGACTTCCTGCATGTACTTGAACATGATTCTGTGTATATACCTGCAGGTTATTATGTATTGCCAAAGATACATCCTCAAGGAGTCCATTGACTTCTGCTTAATAAAAACATAAATTACTATAGCTCACTGGGGGAAAGGCACTCTGCCTGTCTTTACTCAAAGGGTATGATTACCTTATTGCCTTGAAATCCCTTCGGGCCTGGATCCCCTGGAGGTCCACTAATGCCCTGCTCCGAGGTGAAAACCAACAATTAGTTCTATATATATAAAAGGCCAACCAAGAAGGAATTATTCATTAAGGTCCCTAGAGATCCTGAATTTAGAAGTCAGACTAAATATCTCAGAGTTAAGTTAGGGTTAAATGTGACTGAGAAATGGAATGAGATAAAATTCCTCCTGTCAAATAGGCAGCTTCTAAAATACTATACTTAAGCTGAGAACAAACATTTATTAATGAGGTGTTTGCTTTCTAAGCCTGTTTCCAACCTTATCCCTGTGCTGGACACCCTTCTTAAAGAATTTTGAATGAGCAACTTTTTTAAATAGCTAAGGCATTTATAACTGGAAGTTGGAGCTTCCAATGACCCTGTGATAACCAGAGTTACTGCCCTGTGTTGACACAATTCCAGACCAGAGCAAAGGAGTTGATGGTTAATTAGATGCTGTCTGGGAAATCTTGAGCCAAGTTACAATTTTCAGTAGACTTTTTGAAATACATAAATGAACTCTTCATATACATACATCCTCCCCCCCCCCATGAAAACTTTAGACTGGGCAAGTCCCCAGACTGGGAAAAAACTGATCTAAATTATTTTCTGAAATCCATGGAATATGTCTAACTTAAATAAATGCCTTCAAAATCTTTTCCATGCTATTGAACATTAAGTACTTATAATGAGCATTCCATGTTTTTGAATATTAAGTACTGTATCTAAATTACACATAGTGTAATTAGATAAAATGCATAGTTCTTCCAACTATATTATACTAGCAAAGCAAAAATAGTTACATCCTTCTTTTAACTGCTTTGACTTCACTCATCTTCCTAACTCGAATTTTTAAACTTCTATCCCTCTACTAAGTAAACTCACCTGCTGGTACCTATCTTTGGGGAGCCTGAATTAGTCATTCAAAACATTAGGGCAGTGATTTCCAAACTTTGTTGCACATTGAAATCACCTGGGGATCTTTAAAACTACTGATGCCTGGCTCCAATCCCTAGACATTCTAATTGAATTGGCAGAGGGAGCAAATGGGCAAACAGATTTTTAAAGCTTCCTAGGTGATTCTAATTCAGATATAGATTTGGTTTAGCCTCTTTACCTGAAGTCCTCTGGGTCCCTTTGGTCCATACGGCCCTAAGGATCCCTGTGGAATAAAATTAATGGTAAGTTGCTCTAAGTATCCATCTTCAAAATGCAATGATTTTAGGTAGAGGAGAAAAGAATGTGTTCTCAGTGATGGCCAATCTTCCCACTTTATCCAAACAGCAAAGCAAACCGATACATTGTCAACAAAATGATCCTAAATAATAAGCCAATTTGAGGTCAGATTTTCCTTCAGTAAACTCCATGAAAACAGTTTTAGATGTAAGTCCTTCACCTGTATATTGAAATTTTGGTCAGAGCAAACAATTTATTCCTTACAATTCCTTAGAAAAAGTACAGTTGGTGGAATATTGTTTCTTTCCAACAAGGCAAAATCAGTTAAATTAACAATTTAGTGAGTTTCCACAATGTCTAGATCACTCTTTTGCCCATCTTCAAGACATGCAACTTGACAAAACACTGTTTATACTCAATACTCTCTAATAGAAGATATTGCAATATGTTCCATAACTAGGAAACCCTTTGAAATTTATTTTTATGAGAATATAGTATAGTCTAATCACTCTTTTCTCAGATTTTCATTTTTCTGCTTAGCAAAATATAACCTGTTCACAATAGACACACCTTGGCAATTAAAGGAAAAAAGTAAAGAAACAGAAAAAAATCACACAGAAGCAACTGCTATTAACATTTTAGGCATATAGAATATTTTTCTTCAAATAATTGATTCAAGTGTGTATACAATCTTGTGTCCTACTTATTTGGTCTTCCATTGTATCAAAAATATTTTTCCGTGTAATTAAAAACTCTTAGTAAATGGAAAAATATTCAAGAATATGTATCTATTATAATTTACTTATTTCCCTAGTTTTGGCATTTAAATTGTTTCTGATGATTATTATTTTAAATAATATTATAATGAATATCTTTGTTTATAAGTCATGTCCAACTTGTGAAAGATTCCTGAAGGTAATGTCCTGGAAGAGGATGACAGACACAGAGATGATGAACACATTCAAGGCTCTCTCGCTCTCTTTTGTGTCTCACACCAATACATGGGAAGAAAAAGCAAAGCTTCCCTCCATAGTTTGCTCAGATTTCCATTCTTACTACCTGAGTAGAGAATGTGCATCTCCACCTTAACAGACACCCCCATCAATGCTGAGTATTGTCTATTATCCCAGTGTTTGCTAATTTGATAAGTGAAATAATATTTTAATGTGTTAATTTCACTTCTCTGATCGCTGATGTATTGGGTTTTTTTCACTTATTAGCCATTTATAGTTCCTCTCTTGTGTCTCTTCATGTTCTTTATAGTCTGACTTAAGAACTTATATGAACTCTTCATGTCAAGGACGCTGTATTTCATTGACTCTAGACATGCATTTTTTTTCAGATCTTTACATCTCTAATATCAAGATACGTCTTATAATCAATTGCATCTTCTGTTTGTAATTGGCAGCACTTTTTCTTTCTTTTTGGCACAGAATATAATAGGGCATTTCACAACCCCTGGCATCTTAGTCAATGAAGTATGATGATTAGCTCTTTATCAACCATTCTCATTTCAAACAGTTTTCAACAGTTACTGTTTAACTTTCATTTTTGTTCTTCTCTGTCCCCTTCTGTATTTTCAAGTCTGTGTCCACCTCCCATTTTCAATTACCCTCCAGGCAGAATCCATTCATTACTACAGTTTTCATTTTGCCCAGAGATAATTATCAAGCCTACATTTTTTTTCAGATCCACCTGGCCTTTAACTCTACAGTACTTTAAAAGCTTTCACAAAAGTCTCAAGCTATTTAAAGTGCTTAGTTACATAGGCCAGTGTTATCATCTATTCTCTGCTTTTCACCTTCTGCCTCATTTTTTCTCCTTGACTCTCTCCCATAATTAAAATACAGATATTGAATGAGTTGAGTATCTTGGTAGCATGCTGTTAATAGTTCTTCACTATAATGAAAACTATTTTTACTCTGTACATTTTTGGATGCTCTGTCATTAAGTTTCAAATGTACTGTCTGTATATTTCTGACCCATTTAATATTGTCTCCATTTTAAATACTTAATTCATATTTATTTTTTAACGAAAGGTTAAGACCCACCCAATTGCCTGTGGCGTACTGCAGTTTCAAAATTTCAATCCCCTATCTATGCCTAGTTCTGCCACATTATTTATAACTATTTCATTAACTTATTCCATAGAGTTCTTCACTCTATTTTGGAAAGTGCTTGTCAGTGTTTACATCTGGAAAACAATTCCAGATGCAAAGACCCAACTGGAGCTTGAACTGACTTTGCTGGTTAAATTATCCTTTTTTGCCATAAAATTCCATAGGCCTAGCCTCAAAGGTTAGGGGGCCACAAAGCACCGTCTTAAAGATCCATATGAAAGGTATGTGGAGGCTCCATTAAGTAAAGTTAGGTATAGTTTTGTTTTCTGCTTCATGTTTTACAGACGTGAAAATTGAGCCAGTAACTTTCCAACTCCAGGAGTGAGAGCAAGGTAATGCATCCCAGGAATTTCCTCTTAGGGAAACTCAGCCCAAAGGGATCCCAGCTGTTAGCATTTTAAAAACATGTTCCTTACTTTGTCACCTTTTATTCCTGGTTTTCCACATTCTCCATTTTCACCCTAAAAAATAAAGAAATGAAACAAATAAGAAGACCTTTGCAGTCGTTTGGGGTTAGGATGTTTTAAAAAGTTTTCTTATGACATAAGCACTCTGATGGGTTTTACAGAATTTTATCCTGAATCCTGTGGGTTATTTGGGCATTACACTCTGAAAAATTTTATCCATGAGTCCTCTTCCACTTGACAGAATCAAATCAGTGATACCACCTAGTAAGGTTTGACATTTTTGAAAGGGAGATGACATTTAAAGGAAAGAAACTAAGGTTTACCGAGTATCCACCATATGCTCTTTGTGATTTAAGTGAATCCACATTACAGCTCAATGAGATCAGTTTTACAGTTGTATTTTATAGATGAGAAAACTTAAGTTCACCCAGATAACTTTCCTCAAATAAGCAGCTCTGATTCAGAGTCCCTATTTTTGCCACACTATACTCCACCCTGAGTACCAGCTTTGATCAATTAGTAGTGTTTGCCCAGAGAACTGTGAGAGAAAGGTCCTGAGACCACATCATGGCTTGGTGGGGAAAGGAGCCAGGAAGAATTAGCAAGGTCTGCTGGGGACGGGCATGGTGGCAAGAATGCCATATATTTCCAACACACTCTACTGCCCTGCCTTTCCTGGCATATTAATGAAAAAAGAACTAACATTTAAATTGTGCTTTACAGTTTATGATTAATTTTATTTAGCAGACATTATCTCAGGTAAGCTGACATTAACTGTCTGACACAGATATTATTAGCCCAATTTTACAGACTGAGAATTTGTGATTCAGAAGGTTAAGTACCTTGCTCATGTAGAATGAGAATTGGGACCTCTGAATACTAATCCATTGTATCAGACTTCTAAGATTTGCATAATTAGAACCAAAATGTATCAAAGGCAATTAGAAAAACAGCTAAAGTTAAAATTTTCAAGTGCTTTCATGCTTTTATCTGAGCCTCAAAGCAACTGATTAAAAAATTTTTTTATATGAGCCTCAGCAATCAGACAACACAAAGAAATAAAAGGCACCCACATCAGCAAGGAGGAAGTCAAACTTACACTCTTTGCAGACGACGTGATACTCTGTGTGGAAAATCTAAAAAACTCCACCAAAAAACTGTGAGAACTGATCCATGAATTCAGCAAAGTTGCAGGATATTGAATCAATGTATAGAAATCAGTTGCATTTCTATACACCAATAATGAAGCAGCAGAAAGAGAAATCAAGGAATCGGTTCCATGTACAATTGCACCAAAACCCATAAAATACTTAGGAATAAACCTAACCAAAGAGGTGAAAAATCTACACACTGAAAACTATAAAACACATTAAAAAGATTGCAGAAGACACAAAAAATGGAAAAGCATTCCATGCTCATGGATTGGAAGAACAAATATTGTTAAAATGTCAATGCTACCCAAAGCAATCTACATATGCAATGAAATCCCTCTCAAAATAACACCAGGATTCTTCACAGAGCTAGAATAAATAATCCTAAAATTTGTATGGAACCAGAAAAGACCCAAATAGCGAAAGCAATGCTGAAAAAGAAAACTGGGGCACCTGGGTGGCTTAGTCAGTTAAGTGTCTGACTTAGGCTCAGGTCATGATCTCACTGTTTGTGAGTTTGAGCCCTACGTCAGGCTCTGTGCTGATAGGTTGAAGCCTGGAGCCTGGAGCCTGATTCAGATTCTGTCTCTCTCTCTCTCTCTCTCTGCTCCTCCCCACCCTCTCTTTCAAAAATAAATAAACCTTAAAAATAAATTAGAAAAAGAAAACCAAAGGTGGAGGCATCACAGTTCCAGACTTCATGCTGTATTACAAAGTTGTAATCATCAAGACAGTATGTTACGGCACAAAAAAAGACACTCAGATCAATGGAACAGAATAAAGAACCCAGAAATGGACCTACAAATGTATGGCCAACTAATCTTTGACAAAGCAGGAAAGAATATCCAATGGAAAAAAAGACAGTTTCTTCAGCAAATGGTGTTGGGAAAACTGGACAATGACATGCAGAAGAATGAACCTGGACCACTTTCTTACACCATACACAAAAATAAACTCAAAATGGATGAAAGACCTAAATGTAAGACAGAAAGCCATTAAAATCCTACAGGAGAAAACAAGCAAAAACTTCTTTGACCTTGGCCGCAGCAACTTCTTACTTGACATGTCTTCAGAGGCAAGGGAAATAAGAGAAAAATGAACTATTGGGACCTCATCAAGATAAAAAATCTTCTGCATAGCAAAGGAAACAGTCAGTAAAACGAAAAGGCAACAGATGGAATGGGAGAAGATATTTGCAAACGACATATCAGATAAAGGGTTAGTATCGAAAATCTATAAAGAACTTATCAAACGCAACACCCCCAAAAAAAACTAACACCCAAAAAATGAGCAAAAAAACGTGAATAGACACTTTTTCAAAGAAGACATCCATATGGCTAACAGACACATGAAAAAAATACTCAACATCACTCAGCATCAGGGCTGATGTGGCAAATCAAAACCACAATGAAATTCCACCTCTGACACCTGTCAGAATGGCTAGCATTAACAACTCAGGCAACAACAGATATTGGTGAGGTTACGGAGAAAGAGGAATGCTTTTGCACTGGAGGTAGGAATGGAAACTGGTGCAGCCACTCTGGAAAACAGTATGGAGGTTCCTCAAAAAATTAAAAATAGAACTACCCTATGACCCAGCAATTGCACTACTAGCTATTTATTCAAAGGATACACGAGTGCTGATTCGAAGGGGCACATGAACCCCAACGTTTATAGTAGCACTATTGACAATAGCCAAAGTAAGGAAAGAGCCCAAATGCCCACCAACTGATGAATGGATAAAGAAGATGTGTTATATATACAATGGAATATTACTCGGCAATCAAAAAGAATGAAAACTTGCCATTTGTAACAATGTGGATGGAAAAAGAGTGTATTACGCTAAGTGAAATAAGTTAGAGAAAGATAAATACCATATGATTTCACTCATATGTGGAATTTAAGATACAAAACAGATGAACATAAGGGAAGGGAGGCAAAAATAATATAAAAACAGAGAGGGAAACAAATGATAAGAGACTCTTAAATACAGAGTACAAACTGAAGGTTGCTGGAGAGGAGGTGGGTAGCGGGATGGGTAAATGGGCAAGGGGCATTGAGGAGGACACTTGTTGGGATGAGCGCTGAGTGTTACATGTAAGTGATGAATCACTAAATTCTATTCCTGAAATTATTATTACACCATATGTTAACTAACCTGGATTTAAATTAAAAATAGAATAAAATCAAATAAAAATGTTTTATTTGAGCATAATTGACACACAGTGTTACATTAATTTCAGGTGTACAACATAGTGATTCAACTTCTCTATACACTATGCAATGTTCACCGCAAGTGAAGCTACCATCTGTCACCATACGATGCTGTTACAATATCATTGACTCTATTCCTTAAAAGCCATTCATATATTTAAGATATGGCAACTCAACTGGAGAAGTTAAATGAATTACTTAAATGCACATGCTAGCCAGTGGCTCCTAGTCCAGTGCCCTCACCACTGCTTTATCATCCATGTGCTGTAAGCATGCTTCTCAAAATGCCACCTCACAGTGACATAAGAAACTTGCACTACAATGATCAGTGCCCTGCTTCCTTCATTAAAGAAGTCATGCTGTGAAAAATGAGTGTCAACTGAACTAAACAGTGTGTTTAGTGATATAGTGGGTTTATATTCTGGTGCAATCTTTATGTCATGACAAAATACCATCAAGCAGTTCACAGGTTGACGGCCAGCATACAGACCACACTTTGAATAGCTCCGCTCTAAGAAGGGAAATAAGCATTGTAACCACCAATTATGGATCCAAAGTCCAAACCTTTACATTACTGCTAATCCCCACAGCAGATTAGATTAGAGAGAGAGAGAGAGATCTCCATTCATAGATGAGGAAAAGGAGACTCCGAGGGATTAAATAGTTTGCCTGTGACCACAAGCTTGAGTCTGTTAGATTCCCAAGTCCATGGTCATCAGCCACTCAAAGCTGAACAAGGCATACCACCATGGTCTGCAAGATAGTTTCCACTAGCCTAGAGTACTACATGGGGTGTCGCTGGCATCAGGAGCAAGAAAGAGGGAGGTACAATTCCTAGATCCAGCTATGCCTCTGCTCAAAAGCAATCTGTTCTCTCTCCACATCATATTGTGAGTCAGACTGACCCAGGAAAAACTGAGCTTTCACTTAGAACAAGTTGAACATTTATTTCTGAATGCAAATGGAAACTCACTCTTGAAGAGTCAATTAGAAAGCAATTAATTTAATAATGTTGGATGGGAATAAATGAGTCAACCACCAAAATATAAAACAGAAAAGTACCATAAATACACTCAAAATTCTTTTGGCCAGAATTCACATTCCATTTGTCCAGACAGATTTGTTAGCTATAGGTCCTGAGGAACAGCATTTGTTTTGGGGGCAGACTTCCATCAATGAAAATATTGTACTCCTGTTATTCGCCTTTGTAAAGGCGTTTTCTTTTTTGGTGGGCTCAGTAATCCCTGTGGAATGGCCACAATTACAATTTCACAGAGCAAGTGCTTCAGAAAGCTATGAACAGATTAGCTCTGTTCCCAGCCTCTGATTTCTGATGCTGCTGTTCATGGTGAAATTCTGGTTTGAATGTCAATGGTTCAGGGTCACTCTACCCTGACAACTTGTATTTTCCAAATGAGAGCTCCACCAGTGATTCTATTATTTCCCAGAAGGTTAAAATGAGTCTTTTCATATATATAAATATATAAACACACACATATATACTATATTTGTAGTATACTATATGCTATATAATATATATATAGTATATATACATAGCACTACATATACTATATAGTGTGTGTTTATGCATGTGTGTGTGTGTGTGTGTGTGTGTGTGTGTATGTATATATATTTAGTGTTCATGAGTAGCTCATATTATAAATCAAGATGGGGGGCCTGTATAATTTTCTTCAACTATACATAGGACAATTTTATAATCATCAAATTTTCTTAAATTTCCTATTTTATCATTTGTTCTCTGCCTCTTCATAACAGCACCTTGCATTTTATCGACCAGCAAACAGCTTATAAGACATTGTCACATCCATTATTTCATTTGCTTCTCCAACCACCCTGTAAATTAGAAGGCCTATATTAATCCAGCTCTATATGGATGAAGAAACAAACACTTAACATTTCTAGTGACTGGGGACAGATTTATTTGCCTGTATGGAGACTCACCTCTAATATTTGCAGGGCCCAGGGCAAGACTGCAAACAGAGGCCTACGTACCATGTATCTAAACAGCTGAAAGTTATAAATTAAGCTAATAACCAACCTAGTAATGTTCTAGCTTCCTTTTTTGACAAGTATCAATAAGAATAAAAATGAAAGAATTGTGGTATTCCTTAGAGGTCTAAGTGCTAGTACAACCCCATGCCCACAGCCTACAGACCAGCTCCTACTTGGCCTCTCCCCACCTTTGGTTCCTCCCAGGAGAGGAGGAACAAATGCACAAGAAGGTGCCCCAGGCAATACAATACAGTGAACCTCCCACCAGGGCCCCTTCCAGCCCCAAAACCAACTTACATTTTTTTTCCCCTCAGGCCTGGGGAAAAGATGGACACAGGAAAGATGTTTGTATCTGCCTTCAAAGCAGGCTCAGGCCATTTTGCAGGGACTTTTGGGGTCTTGGTTACCTAAAGTGTGGTCCAGGTTCAAGGGGGCATAAGCCTCATGCCCTGTAGCTTCCTGGATCCTTTGGGGGTCAGAAGGCCATAGGAGACCCAGAGAAAGACCTCTTGCCCTAGGTCTGAGGGCTGTAGACAGGATGAACGAGGACACACTCTATTTTCAGATAGAACATCTGGTGATAGAACTGTGACATTAATCTATGAATGAGCGCTTGAGGCACTTGGGTGGCTCAGTTGGTTAAGCATCTGACCTGGGCTTAGGTCATGATCTGAGTCACAGTTCCTGAGTTCCAGCCCTGCACCTGGCTCTGTGCTGACAGTTCAGAGGCTGGAACCTGCTTCAGATTCTGTGTCTTCCTCACTTTCTGCCCCTCCCCTGCTTGTTCTCTCTCTCCCTCTCTCTCTCTCTCTCTCTCTCTCTCAAAAATAAATAAATAAATAAATATTTTTAAAAAATCTATGAATGAACCATGAACAACTGTCAACATGGTTCTTGAGCCCCCATCCACTTTGCTAACTTTCTAATTTGTAAAGAATCATAAAATAGTCTACCAGCCCATAACTTTTGTTGGTTTGTCAGATTTATTCCCCTTGCAAGCTCCACCCAGATGTCTCACTGTATGAAGAGGTTCCTTATCGCCTAACCAGAATAAATCCTCGTGCTTCTACAAGAGGATTTGATGTCTAGGTTTTGGTGTCTAGCTTTCATAGGAAGTTAAGCATCAAGGTAGCAACCTAACTGAAGTATTGCCGCATCCATTTTTATTTGGAACTTATAGTCTGTGCTACATGGCTGGTAAATAGGGGTCCTCGTGTTTGCAGAGCTGAGAGAGGCTGGATCCTAATCTCAGGCATCTTAGGATGCTTTTCACCCCTTCCAACACATCTCCGTACCTGAAGTTTATTATTATTTTATGTTTACAGACTTAAGAGTATACTTGGGAATTAGGGAACCTAGACTTAGGAAAATAAAGGAAAACAACTTTTATTAAGTACATAAATACAGTTATGCTTCTGTTTTTCTCTCTGAAATCCTGGCCTGTCTATTCATTGTTACCAACTTACCTTCTCACCTTTGTACCCAGGGATTCCCTAGTTACAAAAGAAAAAAGAAAGAAAGAGTAAAACATATTAGAAGACATAGTTGGAGGAAGTATTTGATGTTTTTCATTTACAAAAACACATCTGTACAGTCAAGGAAAATAAGACCACACACAGAAATGTAAGCTATTTTACTTCTCTGGGGAGAAGAAAAGAACCCATTTTCCTCTTTATTACATTCTATTCTCAGTTCCACATATTTTTTTCAAACCCAATTTCTTACCCTTTGGCCCAAAGCTGAAGGAGAAACTATACACTGAAACTTATAAAAGGGACGACCTACAATGCTCCATTCAAAATTGTTATATTGACTTTTAAACTATGAACTATCATAGCTGAGAATGTTTCACAGAGACTGTTAAAGAAATTGGCTTTGAAAATGAGCTGAGATAATGGCCTTTACAATGTATGTAAATATTTATATCCATTACAGTCCTCCTTTCAAATTCAGTCTCAAATATGGAACATCAATGAAATGCATGGTTCCTTTATCAACCCTAATGAGACGGTGGCCTTTAAGGCACTATATTTTATCTCATGCTAACTATGGGGCTAACTCCTCTTCTGTGTCACTCCTGGGAATCCTGCACAACCTCCTCCATTGCGTCCCTGCCTGTGAGCCCTTGAAGTAATATGATTCTGAATATTAAGTGAACTAGGAAATTAACAACTTTAAGCAAGAGCAAGCCTTTTCCATATAGGACTTTATATCTTTCTCATACAACAATAGCTTTTAAGTATGAAAATAAAATTGTAAGATATATTTTAAGTGAGCCGGAGAAACCGATGGAGAAACAAGCTATTATCACAATTACATGTGTCAGATGGCAAAATATTGTTTTGTATGACCTTTTTTTTACAAAAGGCAAAAAAAAGGAAAACTTCGGGAAGGATATAACACTTCTCTCCAAATGAGTGGTCACTGGGAAATTGAAACTAAAAATAGAACTACGGTCAAAAGTATTGTTATGCTGCATTTTAGTTCTTCTCAGATATGTTTATTAGCATAAAGGGTTTAGGTTTTAGTATTGTGCTTAAAATTAAAGGCCACATTATAGATAGTTAAATTGGGGTACTTTATTAAAACAATTCATGTTTGCAGCAAAAACCTTACTTTTTTATATTATACTCTTTTTTCCCCTGTTTTTCTTTCTGAACTCTCTGGTCAATTTATTGTTTGATTGTTATCAGTTTCCTTCCTTCCCTCCTGCCTTCCTGCCTTCCTTTCTTTCGTCCTTCCTTGACATCTTAATTACTTGTTTGAAAGTATTCAAATTTAAGATATCCAAAACTGCACTCATTGGTCTGCCAAATTTGTTTTCTGTTTGTATTAGTGGTGCCATCATATTTCAAATCACACAGAATCAAAAGTTTATCTTTTCTCTCTACTTGCCCCTTACATTCCTTGAATCCAACCAGTTAAAATTCTCCAACAGCTGTCACTGCATTTAGTTTTAAGTCCATCCTTTCTACTGTCCGCCC